CCACCATCTTGACTCAGAAGTGGACCCCACTTGGTTCTTGGTGGCTCCATGACCACCCTGAAGGTTCTCCACCGATGGGTTTTGCCGGGAGAAGAACGAGCCACCGCTCCGGGACGCTTCTGGATAGAGGAACGTCGGCGTTTGGCTTCCTGAAGGTCTCCAGGAGATCCTTAGGAGGTTCCCAGGAGGTCACTCCCCATCAGGTTTTCAGAAGGTCTCCAGAAGTTCCTCAGAGCTCCCAGGAGGTCACTCCCCATCAGGTTTCCAGAAGGTCTCCAGAAGTTCCTTAGGAAGTTCCCAAGAGGTCTCCAGAGAGTTTCCAGAAGGTCTCCAGAAGATCACCAGATGGTCACTGGAATGTCTTCAGAAAGTCCCCAGAAAATCCCCAAAAGTTTTCCAGAAGGTCTCCAGTAGGTCTCCAGAAGATCCCCAGATGATCTCCTTAGGAGATCCCCAAAAGATCTCCAAAAGGTCTCCAAAAGGTCTCCAGAAGTTCTCCAGAAGGTCTTCAGAAGGTCCTCTAGAAGATCTCCACATGAAGATCTCCTTAGAAGATCCCCAGAAAATCTCCAAAAGTTCTTCAGAAGTTCTCCAGAACTTCTCCAGAAGTTCTTTATAAGATCTCCATAGAAAATCCCCAGAAAATCTCCAAAAGGTCTCCAGAAGGTCTTCAGAAGGTTCCCAGAAGGTCCCTGAAAGGTCTTCACAAGGTTCTCAAAAGTTCTCCAGAAAATTTCCAGAAGTTCTCCAGAAGTTCTCCAGAAGTTCTCCAGAAGATCCTTCAAAGCTTCCCAGAAGTTCTCCCGAAGGTCTTCAGAAGATCCCCAGATGAAGATCTCCTTAGGAGATCCCCAGAAAATCTCCAGAAGGTCTCCAGACGTTCTCCAGAAGTTCTCCAGAAGATCCTTCAAAGCTTCCCAAAAGTTCTCCAGAAGCTCCTCAGAAGATCTCCACATGAAGAATCTCCTTAGAAGATCCCCAGGAACTCTCCAGATGTTCTCCAGAAGTTCTCCAGAAGATCCCTCAAAACCTCCCAGAACTTCTCCAGAAGCTCCTCAGAAGATCTCCACATGAAGATCTCCTTAGTAGATCCCCAGGAACTCTCCAGATGTTCTCCAGATGTTCTCCAGCAGTTCTCCAGAAGATCCCTCAAATCCTCCCAGAACTTCTCCAGAAGCTCCTCAGAAGATCTCCACATGAAGATCTCCTTAGAAGATCCCCAGGAACTCTCCAGATGTTCTCCAGAAGTTCTCCAGAAGATCCCTCAAATCCTCCCAGAACTTCTCCAGAAGCTCCTCAGAAGATCTCCACATGAAGACCTCCTGGTGTCCAGCAGAACTTCTCCAGACCTTCTCCTCACCTCCCCCACCTCCCCCCTCCCTCCTCCAGCCCCGTCCCCAAGCCCAGGAGCTCCCGGTGGGACCCTGGTGGGAGGGGACCTCCTTGTCCACCCCGTGCCACCCCACCCCAGGAGCGTGGTACCTTCTTGGCCCCGGTCAGCGCCGCCTTCTGCAGTTTGCTGTAGCAGTAACGGGCGTAGGTGCTGATGGCCACCCCTGCAAGAGAGGAGACGCCGGCTGGTGGGATGTCTTCTCCAGGGGGATGGGGTGGGACCTGCAGGGGGGTGGGGTGGGACCTCCAGGAGGGTGGGATGGGACCTCAAACATGGTGAGATGGAACCTCAAAGATGCTGAGATGGGACATCAAACATGGTGAGATGGAACCTCCAAAGATGGTGAGATGGGACCTCAAACATGGTGAGATGGAACCTCCAGGGTGGTGGGATGGAACCTCCTGGAGGGTGGGATGGAACCTCCAGGGTGGAATGTCTTCTCCAGGGGGATGGGATGGGACCTCAAACATGGTGAGATGGAACCTCCAAGGATGGTGAGATGCCACCTCAAACATGGTGAGATGGAACCTCCAGGGTGGGATGTCTTCTCCAGCGGGGTGGGATGGGACATCAAACATGGTGAGATGGGACCTCAAACATGGTGAGATGGAACCTCAAAGATGGTGAGATGGGACCTCAAACATGGTGAGATGCCACCTCAAACATGGTGAGATGGAACCTCCAGGGTGGTGGGATGGAACCTCCTGGAGGGTGGGATGGGACCTCCAGGGTGGAATGTCTTCTCCAGGGGGATGGGATGGGACCTCAAAGATGGTGAGATGGGACATCAAACATGGTGAGATGGAACCTCCAAGGATGGTGAGATGCCACCTCAAACATGGTGAGATGCCACCTCAAACATGGTGAGATGGAACCTCAAACATGGTGAGATGGAACCTCAAACATGCTGAGATGCCACCTCCAGGTTGGTGAGATGGAACCTTCAGGGTGGTGGGATGGAACCTCAAAGATGGTGGGATGGGACCTCCAGGGGGGTGGGATGGGACCTCAAAGATGCTGAGATGTCACCTCAAACATGGTGAGATGGAACCTCAAACATGGTGAGATGTCACCTCCAAGGATGGTGGGATGGAACCTCCAAGGATGGTGAGATGGGACCTCCAGGGTGGTGGGATGGGACCTCCAAAGATGCTGAGATGCCACCTCAAACATGGTGAGATACCACCTCAAAGATGGTCAGATGGAACCTCCAGGGTGGTGGGATGGAACCTCAAACATGGTCAGATGGAACCTCCAAGATGGTGGGATGGGACCTCCAGGATGGTCACATGGAGCCTCAAACATGTTGAGATGCCACCTCAAAGATGGTGGGATGTCACCTCCAGGAGGGTGGGATGGGACCTCCAGGGTGCTGGGATGGGACCTCCAGGGTGGTGAGTTGTCACCTCCAGGATGTTGGGACCTTCTGGACCATCCCAGAAGAAGCCCTGAGGACCTGATGGAACCTTCTGGACCATCCCAGAAGAAGCTCTGAGGACCTGATGGAACCTTCTGGACCATCCCAGAAGAAGCCTGGGAGACCTGGTGGGACTTTCTGCATCATTCCCAGAGCCTTGGGGACCTGGTGGAACCTTCTGGACCATCCCAGGAGAAGCCCCGAGGACCTGGTGGAACCTTCTGGACCATCCCCAGGAGAAGCTCTGGGACCTGGTGGAACCTTCTGGACCACCCTAGAAGCTCAAGAGACCTGGTGGAACCTTCTGGACCATCCCGGAAGAAGCTCTGGGTTCTGGTGGGTTCTGGTGGGTTCTGGTGAGGATCTGGTGGGATCTGCTGGACCTTGGTGGGTTCTGGTGGGTTCTGGTGGGGTTTGGTGGACTTTTGTGGGTTCTGGTGAGGATCTCGTGGGGTTTGGTGGGGTTTGGTGGGATCTGGTGGGGTTTGGTGGGATCTGCTGGACTTTGGCGGGACCTGCTGGACTTTGATGGGACCTGGTGAGGATCTGCTGGACTTTGGTGGGA